TTGCATCTCAGTTATCAAGAAAACAAAGATTCTTACCACTGGACCAAATAGGCAGTATCACGATGAAGAGGAGATTGAAACTGTCAACAGCTTCTTGCTTGGATCCACAATTAACACCCTAGGTACCACCATTCAGGAAATAAGGAGGCACATTGCACTGTGGGAAAAAAATGCAGTTAGGGACCTCTCAAAATTATTGAGTGATGATGTCAGTTTGAAGACTAAGGTGTGTCTGAGTTAGGCCATGGTCTTTCCCATTACATGCTATGCATTTGAGAGCTGGACAGTGAGTAAGGATGACAGAAAAAGAATTGATGCTTTGGTGTTGGAGAAGAGAACTGAACATCTCATGGACGGCCAAGAAAATGAACAGATAAATCTTGAACGGCTGCAGCCAGAGTGCTCTTTGGAGGTAGGAATAATGAGATTTCACCTTAAATACTTTGGACATGTTGCTAGGAGGGCTATTCCTTGGAGAAGGACATGATGCTGGGAAGGATGGAAGGTTAGCAAAAGACCCTCAGCCAGGCAGATTGACACAGTGACTGCTGGGCTCTTGAGTGTCTGGAAGTGTGAGGATGCACAGGATAGAACAGGTTCAGATCTTTCGTTCATATGGTCACTATGAGTTGACATCACCTAACAAGAACAATACAAATCTACTTGGCTATTGGGATTATTAGCATAATCCTAAAGTGTTAATTTTTAAGACTGATTTTCTATTACTATATTCAAGTTTTATTTGCAAAATATTAGAGATATTCGGAAACTCGACTGCATAATTTGTGGTAGTGGGGGACTGCGTTCGCACTCTCACTCTCTGCCTTCCAAACTCAGGACTTAAATTTTATTTTACTTAAGAATACCAAGTAAATTCCATCTACAAGCAGCTGTTGGTGGTTGTTACAGGCTTTTGAATCATAACTAACTCATAGCTGAGTTTAAAAGCCTCTAGTGGCTTTTTAAAGGCTTTAAATCACACAGGATGAGATTGCCTCTCTTTTTCCTACAGAGCAGCCTCTGGACAAGAACAATGTGCTTTTGGGTTGACAGTGTAACTCCTTTCCATTAGGGTACCAGAACTCCCTAGTCTTCATGAAACACAATATTTTATATTGTGAGTTCGATGCCAATTTCATAGTAAAGCAAAATAACCCTGTAAGAAACAGACCTGATTATTTTTCAGGTTATCCAAGACAGTACAAGAAAATGCATGTCTAAGAAATCACAGATGGTGGGAATGGCACAAGATATGGTATGGTTCAAATCTGTTGTTCACAGGGTCACTCTTGACTCACAGTCGCCTTAATGTCACATAACAACAATGATGTGTTCTTTTTTTAATTATTAAATTTTATTAGGTCTAATGAACATTTACAGAGATTTTGGGTTTTCATTTATTCATTGTTGCACTATTTTCTCTACCCTCCTCCCCAGTTCGTTCTTCTTTTTTTCCCCCCCTTGAAAGTCTGTTTTAATTTCCAATTGCTACGGTGCTTGTCAAAGCCAGTTCTGATTAATCTCCTTTGTCAGTGTGTCCTTTTCCATTCCCTATCACTCCTCCCTGAGAGAAACTTCACCCTGATTCATAAGGAGAAGGGGATGGCATATTCTCTTAGCTACTTCCTGCTGAAAAGGGATGCTGTAGGTTTCAGGGTCAGGAGCTTCTCTCACTACTCTAAAGGGCCCTTTTGGCAGTAGGAAACACATAGACTATTATGGAGATTGATTTTGGAATTTAGATGCACAGTTATCAGTTGTGCTTAGCCGTACATGTTCATGTCCTTGAAGATGTATCATGGAACTGTTGCAGCCTAGAAGACAGAAATTTAACTAACAAGTTAAAAGTACATGGGTCAAAAAAAAAAAAAGTACATGAGTCAAAAATTAAAAAGTAATAATATTCCAAGTAGAGGTTCTAATGGTGGCACAGATCAAGTTACAGAGGGAAGGTAGTTCTTACAATAAAAGGCCTATTGACTAGCACTTTGTCTATTATAGTGTAGAGGTTAGGAACCACAAGATGTACAGGCTCAGCTATGTCGTTTACTGTTCTTAAGTCCTGGAGCAAATTCCATCTACCACTGGGTTGTTTTACAACTCGGAAGTCCGCATGCAAGGCAGAGGTGAAGTAAGGAACTGCTTATGAGGTTTTACATCAATTCCAACAACTAAGAAATAGTGAGAAGAGTTGGGACCTCAGAAGGCTTTTAGGACCAAATAGTAGGCCCTGTGTCCAGGAGAAAACGAATATACTTACCAGTAATGTTAATGCTCACCCACAGCTCTTCTGGAAGGATCTAAATCATTGAAGTGTCCCAGTGACATGTTCTGAAGGGAGCTCTATTGTATTAGTCCATATGAGATGTGTTATTAACCCAGAAGCAGTGCCTGGCTGATGGTTTGAGCAGTTCCTTGGGAGCAAGATGATCATTCTCCTTCTGTGTGACATACACCTCAGAAACCAAGGGGCAAGGGGGGGCGGTGTCTGCTGTGAGTCAGCAGAGTGGATGGCAAAGAATTTGAGTTGGATTTTTGTTGTTGCTATTTGGTTGAGTTTTTAGTTTTGTTTTGTGAAAGCTGCCTAGACTACCAGTTAATTATTTAATGAGTTGGTAAAAGTGAGTTAGGAATGGGAATTATGTGTGATTTTATGATGTTTATTTCATCTTAGTCTCTTTTTTTTTTTTTTTTTTATCTTAGTCTCTTTATAACTTAAAACTGTTTATATTTTCAGTCACCAGGAAAGGGAACTAGCTAAGGGGAAATTGAAGGAATAGGTTGTTGTAGGTGCTGTCAAGTTGCCTTCAATTTATAGCTACCCTTCCAACAGGATGAACCCTTCTCTACGCTGTGCCATCCTCATCTGATACACTCGAGCCCATTAACACAGTCACTGTGTCACTCCATTTTGTTGAGCATCTTCCTCTTTCTCTAATGCGTCAGCTTTTCCAGCAGTGATGTCTTTTTCCAAGGACTGGGCCCTTCTGACATTATGCTCAAAGTATGGACATCCTTGGTTATACTTTCTTCAAGACATTTGCATTCTTGGTAGACTCTGCAGTATTCAGCACTCTTTTCCAACACCCCAGTCCAAAGGCATCGATTCTTCTTCTTTCGCCTTTATTTGATTTTCCAACTTTTCGATCCATGTTGATGTTGTTTACAGTCAAGTCAGAACAGACCCATTAGTTGGCCCACTGGGAGGTTTTCAGAAGCAGTTAATCACATAAGAGCACATTGCCCATCCTGCTCCTATAGAGCAGCTGGTGGCTTTAAACCACATGCATTCAGGATTGCAGCAGTTTCTTACACTAAGCCACCAGAGATCCCTTCAGATGGATCGGAAGCAATTGAAAGTATAGGGTAGCAGTTTTTAAACACCAATTTGTAGCTTTCTCACTGCACTTTACAATGTAAAGTGATCTGCTGTGAGTTAAGAGGAGAGATTAAGATTAAATTTTGAGTGTATCTTATGACAGGATGGGGGATTGACATTTTCTGATTCATACTGTAAATTAGCTGTCAGATGTTGTTTGTTGTTATGTGCCGTCAAGTCGCTTTCGACTCATAGCAACCCTATGTACAACATCCCTAAACTCTGCTCTGTCCTGTGCCAATTGCACTCTCTGACACTCCCATCCCAATTATCCCAGTCACTGAATCAATCCACCTCATAGAGGGCCTTCCCCTCCTGCTCTGTCCCTCCATCCTCCCAAGCATGATGTCCTTCTCCAAGGAC